AAGTACTTAATTCGTTCCGGAGGTTCATTCTTAACCTGAAACTGTTCTTAACCTGAAGCACCACTTTAGCTAATGGGGCCTCCTGCTGCTGCTGCTGCCGTGCCACCGCTGTACAATTTCTGTTCTCATCCTGAAGCAAAGTTCTTAACCCGAGGTACTATTTCTGGGTTAGCAGAGTCTGTAACCTGAAGCGTCTGTAACCTGAAGCGTATGTAACCCGAGGTACCACTGTACTACTTAACTCTGACAATACAGCTGCCCGTCCTCTATTGCACTAATTATTCTATTAATCTGTAATCAACAACTACAAATGACATAGCAATGCCAAATTAAATCTAAGAAATTATCCCAATCAATATGCATAATTTTATCAAAACGTATTGTCAACTTTTAGAAAACAAAAGGGTTAATTTTAATGTACCGGTACTCTCGTATTGATTCATGTGGATAATGGAGTATTCCTTGAATGACCTATATGCCATAAAGCCTACACTTTATTAGCAAAATTAATTTCTCAGCACAAATAGCCCAGCTGTTCCTTTTCACCAGAAGCAGGAATATCTAACTTCAACATAATTTGGCTTTTGCCATGCACTGCAATGCTCTCAGATTATCACATATATTAATTATCATCATTGCTGCAGCCACCTAATGATTCAAATTCAATATAGAGTTCTCTTTAGTTGGGTTGCTTATCCTGAAAGGTTTAGCTATTAATCTTATTGACCTGTGTGTGGTGATGACTATATTTGTATTCATAGTGTGAGATATGGTGCATATATGATGAACAGGGACACGGGTGGCACTGTGGTCTAAACCACTGAGCCTCTTGGGCTTGCCAATCAGAAGGTCAGCATTTCGAATCCCCGTGATGGAGTTGCCGTTGCTATGTCCCAGCTCCTGCCAACCTAGCAGTTCGAAAGCACACCAGTGCAAGTAGATAAATAGGTACCACTGCAGCGGGAAGGGAAACCGCATTTCCATGCACTCTGGTTTCTGTCATTTGTGCCAGAAGCTTTTCAGTCATACTGGCCACGTGACCCGGAAAGCTGTCTGTGGACAAATGCCGGCTCCCTCAGCCTGAAAGCAAGATGAGCGCCGCATCCCAGTGTCGCCTTTGACTGGACTTAACCGTCCAGGTGTCCTTTACCTATATATGATGAGATACTATGATGCTGTACAATAATTTATCTTCTCCTTCTCCCAACAGTTTATTGCACTGATATAGTGAAGCTAACCAGGACAACCAGAGCTTCAGATAAAATACACCTTATGGTTGCAATCCTCTGTTCATTTATGCCCAGTTGTGTCCCATTGATTTCAGTCCGTTACAAGAACATGCACCACTGATCTCAGGATAGCAGCCTTGGCTTGGAGTGACGGAGGTAGACTAATCTCTGGAAAAACGAGTTCTACCATTTATTTACTTGATTGGACATTAATCCTGGAGACATTATGTGAGCCTTTACTGATACCTTCTGAGCGACCTTGTCTCACTGAAACACAAGACTCAGCAACCAGATTGAATTTCCTCAGCAGCCAAGGACCCTCCCAATTTCCAATTCAAAGAAATGGGCAACAGAAGGAAAATGTGCACAGAGGAAACTCTAAAATTGCTACACTGCCCAACATGGTCTTCAGAAATTCCCTGAATCTGGGGTGGGGGCAAGGAAGATGGCACCCATCACAAGAATGGGCTGGGGAATATCTGGAGAAAACTCTTCAACCTGACCTTTTTCTAGGTGGCGGAGAAAAAGAAACATCTCAGTAATATCACTTCCTGAGAAATGTTAGCTCTGCATTGAACACAATAGGTTTTCTCCATAGGACTGCGCTGTTAGACTGAATCTGGCATTCCTATGGAGGAAAGAAAGCCTATTGTGTTCAATATGGAGCAGAAGCAAAATTTCTCAGGAAATGCATTTGCTTTTGAAATCTACAGTATATTATAGAAATATAGAGTGTGGGCAGTGCAATGTTCTGTTGAAGCAACCTGATATGTTCAATGCACTGGCCCTTATACTAACTCTGAAGTCGACAAAATAAGAAAACACATTTCCATTTAGTGACTGACCTCAATCTCTGAATGAGGACCCCTGCGTGTTGCATTAGCAGGCTGGGCTCCATTACACCAGCACACACACACTGGAGTCTACTGAAATATTGATTTTTGGGCTGCACACACACAGAGTGTAAAATCAATATCCAGTACACATAGCAGGCCAACTCTGTGGCATTTGCATATATGGGCCTTTGCCCCAATATTGGGGTGTGATCAGAAAAAAATTGGGGGAACGAAATGTATGCAAGAAGCGGCAACATCTCAGATGCAAAAGAAGTGCAAAGAAAGGCAGGGAAATATAGACGGCAAAAAGAATCACATGGGAAAAAGGCAAAAACAAAGTAAAGGGGAGTCTATATGAAGACAAAGGGATGGAAGGAGAGGAAATCAAGAAGGTGAGAAATGCTTTCTCCAAAATTTACCTTCACATAACTATTTCATGAGATGAATATTGATATGTAAGGCTGTAATTTAGATCCTGTATTCATAGGCTGATTCACTTATATTATTGTGATGTATGTCCATGTTAGGAGTAGCAACTAGTAAGGATGATAACTATGACACTGAAATACTTTGAAAAGTCAATACATGCAGATTTCTCTGGAAAGGTCTTTTGTCGTTTAGATAAATGCTTCCACCTGTGTTTAAGGTTATGCACATGAACTGTCACAAGCACATGAAATGAAAACATTGCGGCAATGCTCCCTGATTATGCACTTGCTACTTCCTAATAGGTGTAAGGAAAGTGATTTAGCTCCAGGGTCAACTTCGGCATTTAGCCTTTGTTCATTCGTGTGATCCCAGTTTTTAAACATATTCAGTAATTGCTGAGATGATGATCACTTTATATTCTACATGTTTTTTTAATACTTTTTATACTAGGCTCATAAAGCGATAGTGCTGAGAACCATATATACTACTCTGAGCTGCTCGGATGCAAGGTGGGGGAAATGAATAGAGATACAGGATAAAAAAAATATTTAAGTACTATAATGTACATTAACTAATGTATTAAGGATGAGAGAAACCATGTAGAAAGCCATGGTGATGACTTGCTCACTTTTTACAAAGCAACAGACAAATAAGTGGCAGATAGGTTTTGTCAATGACTATTAACTATAGCAGCTAAATAGGAAACCTCACCAAATGCTGGCTAGATGCATCTTGCTGTCCACTGTTGGGAGACAAATGGACTGGGCCAGATGGACGTTTCCTTTCATCCAGCACTACAATTCTCATGGCCTTATACTCAGCGATCACTTACTTATTTTAATTCAGAAAGTTATTACCCAAGAGGGGGCCTGTGAAGACAGCTGGCTCAATACATCTTGCCACCTGAGGCAAATCACAAAACGGTCCCGCCCCAGAGAAGAAGGGGTGAGTGAAGATCTACATCAGGAACAAGGGTGGAGGGAATCAAACCAACTTTGCCCAATGGCTGAACTGGAAATCCAAGGCTGTCTTGGGGGGCACTCTGAATCACGCCAGACAAAACACTCTAGAGGGCAGTCCCTGCCATTTCCTTCCTAGGGTTGGGAGGAGACAAAGAGTGCCTCGTATTCAGCAGGAGGCCATTGTGGAGGCGGCATTACACAGTGGCTTCTCGGTAAATGTGGTCCCCCACCTGGGGGGGGGAGACACGGTAGTTGAGGGGCTGCTACTGTGGCAGCAGTGGTGGGTAATGCATTCCTTGGGGGCTGGATCTGCTGCCTTGTGAATCCTGCCACCCGAGGCAGTTGTTTCACTTTGCCTTGTGGGTGGGCCAGCCCTGCCTGTGAACATTTCCCAGGTGTACATCTTCCCCAGATTTTGTTGGTGTTCAGGGAGAGCTACCCCTTGACAAAGGCAAGGACCTTTGACGGTATGGAGAACAACATTGGGCTCCATGGTGTGTGCCCTGTGGCATTTGTGCTTTCACAACTGAAAGGACCTTTGGCAGCATGGGATAAGAAAACTGAACTCCGAGGGTGTGCATCCCCTGGCATACATTCTTGGGTCCCAAATCCCAAAAAGTGTCTTTGTGGGCTGGGGGTAAGGAACTGGGTTCCACTTCCCTCTCCAACTCAGGATCCTTTTGGTTATGAAGGGGCAAGCTGATGACATCAATTCACCCTAGCTCAGATCTTTCTAGGACTTGGAGCATGCATGGAATTGCAGCACCTCCTGTAGGAAAAGAAGACTCTCTTCAATTAGACCAGCTTTCAGTAATGGTAGGGGCTGCTAAAATACACAGGCCCTCTTTGCTCCAGCTGGTGCTTGCGATGGAAACTGGGGACCGCAATGCACACTCTGGCCTGTCAATATTTCACAGGGGGGATTCAACCACATATTGCAAACTGAGGTTGTGCACAGTTGAAGTGGATGAAAGCATCTGTCGTCCTAATCCAGTTTTTTTGCAGTTAGGAACACGACAGGGGGAAGTATGGGATGAACCAATGAATGATGGGAAGATGCAAAACCACCGTGCAAACGTACAATGATGAATGCTTATTGTCAGATAAACTACCCACCAACAGATCACAATGAACACTCAATAAATAAAGGCTGGGCATATTCTCACCTCCATGTAAGCTTTGTGCAATAAAGCTCAATGAAGAGGTCATCTGCAGCAGACCAGCAACTGCTAAGAGGAAAGGCCAGGATCTCAATCAGCTTGCTGTCAATCAGCCTGATTGTACACACTAATACTAATGCTCCCGTCTTGACCAAAACATTGAAAAATTTCTTTCAGTTCCCAAAGCAGAACATTCTGTTTGCTCCTTAAGAAGTTAAAAGTTGATGCATCTCAAGGGGTTGAATAACACAACCCAATATTGGCAAAGGGGCAAGCACTGCTCGCAGATGAAAACAGGAGGCTTTCGCAAGAGCTACCCAAGTGTCTTATGCCCTGCTTGGAAGCTGAAAGAAGCCTCTTGGGTCCAAATCACATCTACTGGCAGACAGGGCAACGTTCCTGGTCAATTCTCCTCAATCCTTCAGTGGTGTTTTACTTGTCTTTTGGTTATTCTGCTCCTACTTGCAGGGTTGGTACCAGAGAATATTGTGGGGGGACTCATGCCCTTTCCCTTTGTGCTTGGGGTTCGAGGCTGTCCCCACATTCTGTTCAACCTCTGTATGAAGCCCCTGGGAGCTGGGCCGCAGCTCTCTCGCTTGCTCTTCATTTCACCCGAACCAGAAGATTCTGTGCAGGTGCTGGACAGATGCCTGGATGCCATGGTGGACTGGGTGAAGGTCAATAAACAGAGCTTTAATTCTGACAAGACAGAGATACGGTGAGTAGGTGGTTCTCAACTTTAGGAATTAGGGAGATGGATTATGGATGTGGCTGCACTCCCTTTCAAAGAACGGATGCGGCTTGTGGGTTTCTCCTCGATTCAAAGCTGTTGCAGGTGACCTCAGTGGTAAGGAGTGCCTCTGCCCAACTCTGGCTGTTCTGCCAACTCTGGCCATTCCTGGACCAGGATAGCCTGTTTATCCGTGCTCTAATAATTGGATCTCTCACAACTGGATGGATGCAACATCCTGTACATGGGCTACACCTGAAGATGGTCCTGAAGATACAGCTGATACATAGTATGACTGCCCAGCTGTTAAATGAGGGGCAGTTAGAGGAGGTTCTTAAAACACCACTGGTTGCCTGTGAGCTACTGGGCTCAGTTCAAGGGGTTGGTACTAGTACAGCAGTTCCCAAACTTGTGTCTGCAGCTGTTTTTGGACTACAAATCTCATCATCCCTAGTTCGCAGGACCAGTGGTCAAGGATGATGGGAACTGTAGTCCAAAAACAGCTGGAGACCCAAGTTGGGGAAACCCTGTACTAGTATAACTACCCATAACCTAAGTTCTTAAATGAGTATCTCCCACACTACCAAGCGGCCCATGCTTTGAGATTGACCAGAGAGGCCCTGCTCATAATCCACCCATAGCCCAAGGTGCAGTGACGATGGCTGGAAGTGGCTCTCCAGGATTTTGTGCAGGATTCTTGCTCAGCCCTAGCTGGAGATTCTGCTGATTTAACCGGGGACCTTTTGCATGCAAGAGCACTGAGCTATAGCCATTCCCATCATCAACTGATCCATGTAATCCAGAAAGCAAGAGATCTGCTGTAGAACACCCACAGAAGCAGGTTTTCAGACAGCTTCTATAGGAGAAGGGGAAAAGAAAAGCACTGAGTCAGTAGCAGCTAACTTGACCCGAGGGAAATTCCTTTCTGACCCAAAATGTAATGATCAAACAGACCTTGAATGTCAGCAAAACCTATTAACCAGGCATCTTCAAAGGAAATTATACTGGTGCTTAAGTCTGTAAGGGTAAACATTTCCATTTATCACATAGGGCAGATCAGGATAATTTTTTTCTCTCCACTGGTGACCACAGGGAGATATATCAGGGGCATAAGGCTAAAGTGATCTTGCACAAGGCATTGCTAATAATTTTCATGAACCTCGTTCCCCAAGTCTTTGTTCATTTATATCTTTAAATCCTAATTCGGGAATTGTCAGCTCTTCATTTTTCTTGATTCTTTTTATATCCAACTCTTCCTCCAAGCAGCAGAGATATGTATGTGGTTCTTCACAGCAGCAGGCTAAGATGAGAGCTCTAAGTTACTGAGAGAAGGCTCCAATCTATATAGTCAGAAGGCTCCTCAGAAGAGATGGAGATAATGTTAGACACTAAGAGGAAAAGTGGCATACTCCAGAGACCCAGGTATTCTTCATCCACTTTTCATAACTTTGAAGGGATTCTATTCACACCTCCAAGATGCCCCTATGAAGCCCTAAAGTTGTACCTGAGAGTATAACCACACCACACATTTAAAGGACGTTTATACTATACTACCAAAGAATCCTGGAAGCTGAAGTTTACACCTAGCAGAGCTACAATTCTCAACACCCTTAACAAACTACAGTTCCCAGGGTTCTTTGGGGGAAGCCATGTGCTTTAAGTGTACAGTGGTACCTCGGGTTACAAACACCACGGGTTACAAACACTTCGGGTTACAAACTCCGCTAACCCAGAAGTAGTACCTCAGGTTAAGAACTTTACCTCAGGATGAGAACAGAAATTGTGCGCGGCAGCAGCAGCGGCAGCGGGAGGCCCCATTAGCTAAAGTGGTACCTCAGGTTAGGAATGGTTTCAGGTTAAGTACGGATCTCTGGAACGAATTAAGTTTGTAACCAGAGGTACCACTGTATGGTGTGGATGTGACTTTTTTGATCTAGTGTTTGAATTAGGGATGAGTAACTTCAAGTTCCTCCACTATTTTGTGAAAGGGATTCAAGCATCTACCGGAACTTTAGGTTTGTGCAATTAAAGTGGATTAAAGCACTCCTTTGCCCTAACACAACAAATCCACTTTAAAAAACCAAGCAACTTTTTGCTGTCATAGGAAATGCACCGAAAAGTATGGGATGAATGAATGATTAACAGGAAGAAGTGTAAACACACCACAAACAAATCAGGATGAAAGCTCATCGTCTAACTGCTCTGTAAACATATCAGAACAAATGCTCAATGAAGAATGGATATAGTCTAACCACCACAGTAAGCTTTGTGCAAACAAATCAGGATGAATGCTGGATAAACAGATTGGCTGGAGGAGCCCTTCTTCTTTCTGAAGAGATATTCAATCCTTGTCTACGTTTATATTAATTTTGGTACTTCCTAAGCTTAAGGCCTATATTGCTATGGAATCCATGGACCTGGACATAGCAGCTAGCTGTATTACATAGAACCCTACCCATAAATATAACATTAAGGTATAGAAAAGTTCTGTCTCGTAACTTATCCATCCCTTACTAATGTAACTGAGAGCCAAGCAAAATTGTCCCTAAAGCCAGATTCAACCTACAGGCCACCAGTTGGCCATTGCAAATATGGGAGTAGTTGGCCTGGTCCTACGTATCCTTGGAAGTTCTTGCTATGTTCAGTGATGCTTAGATGTGCAACATCAGACAATGAAATAGCTACAACAATGTAGATGCATCCTCTGTTCTCATGATAAATGGGTCACAGTTCCAACCTTCCAGAAATCTTTGGTCTCTTAAGGTAACAACGTATTGGTCAGCTGCTAGTTTCAGATACTGCTGTTATTCTTTGGGCAGAATCACTATCAAGTGTATTTTATGGGTTGCTTGCAGGAAACTGGCATCTTCTAAAATACTAGAACACAGCTGTTCTGTCACCGTTAGGTTTAGAAGCCTTTCATGAAAAAGGATCTGATAAAACATTTCTTTTAGATGGTGACAGTGGCTTTATTGAGACTGCACAGTGCTTTGAAGGGGGGGGGGGAAGCCTAGGTGTGCAGACCAGAAAGAGGAAACTGCAGCAAATTTGTGCAGCAAGAAAGGGAAGGGCAGGAAAGCCTTAGAAAGCTGTAGCTGTGACAACTGTAAGCCTGGTTTTGTGCTAGCATGTCTGCTCCTTAAGCTACAGTGGTGCCCCGCAAGACGAATGCCTCGCAAGACGAAAAACTCGCTAGAGACGAATTTCCCTATGGGCTTGCTTCGCAAGACAAAACGTCTTGCAAGTTCTTGCGAGTTTGTTTCCTTTTTCGCTAAGCCGCTAAGCCGTTAATAGCTGCTAATAGCTGCTAAGCCGCTAATAGCTGTGCTTCGCAAGACGAAAAAACTGCAAGACGAAGAGACTCGCGGAATGGATTAATTTCGTCTTGCGAGGCACCACTGTAGTTTGAAAATGAGTGCACAGAGGCAACTTCAGGGTGTGGTAACAAATCAACTTAGCCTGACTGTTTCATTGGGGCCCTTTGAGCAATGCATATTTATGAGCTAAACAACCCTAAAAAACCATTGAGAAGAATTGCTGATTGGTCATTGGAAATCTTATCCAAGCTAAGCATTGTGCTTAAACCTATCATAGCGACAGCTGCATAGACACGGTTTAGAAGCTGGCAGACTTATGTGTGTTCATGCAAGTCGAGTTAACATTGTGCTTGCTGGAAAACGCCTTACCTTGTATTAATTGTTTTGCTACTGGCTAGCTCAAGATGAGGGTGAAGATTTACACCTATTTTGGCTCCTTTTGTGTGGAATGCCATCTCCCAGCTGCTTTAGGTTACTGAGATAATTTTACTACTTGAGGGCTGCAGTTATCGGTCTTATGCATCCTATTTATCAATGAAGACCAGTTCCCCAGCAAAAATCTGCATCGCTATCGTACGGTCAACACTCCGCATAAGACCCTCTTTTTCGTCACAGTGCCTAAAAACACACTGACCAGACAATTGGGTTGTGGCAGCTGATTTGATATAAATCAGAACTGTTACGCACACCTTGCACTCACAGTATGTTCTGTAGGTACATGTTGTTTCTTACAGGACGGCAAGTTCTAACTTTGCAGCTTTTTAAATATGTGCAGTCCTGGTCCACCAACCTGGAGTTGTCTTGATCTAACTGAAGATAATTCCATTAACTTTAAACTATTGCAAACCTACGCATACTTATTTGGAACGGAATACAAAAGAATGTGAGAGCAGTTGGGTTGCATCAGACCAAAGGCCTATCTATTCTATCTGGTCCCACAATGGGACTACTAGGTGCAAATGGGAAACTCGCAAGGAGGACGCCAAATGCAACAGCACACTTCAGCCCTTGTTTCCCAGCATATTGCCTCTGGTACTAGTGGCAATATAAAGCCACCATTCCTAGTAGCCATTGATACGACTTATCTTCCATAAATTTGTCTAATCACCTTTGACAGCTGTCCAATTTGACAGCTACCATTACATCCTGCAGCAAATAATTTAACTTATCTGTATGCTACATGAAAAAGTATTTTTTTTTTTGCAGTCCTCAATCTCCCCAACATTTAGTTTCATTGGATGATCCCATGTTCCAGAAATAGGAGAGGGAGATTTTCCCCCCTCCCCATCCGTTTTCTCCACACTTTTACAGATCTCAGCCACACACCCCTTCGTTTACTTCACTTTTTTCTTAGTTAAAAAAGTACCAAGCATTGTAACTTTTCCTCATAGGGTAGTTATGTTCAGGCAGGACTGGACTGGGCTGAGGATCAGAGTGGAAATTTGCAATTGCTCCTTTCTTGGTTTACTCCTTGGTAAACAACAACTACGACAAGCCTCAAAGGTAAACACATGCATAATTCCTTCCAAGCTCTGGGCCTCCAACTTTAAACTTGACGATAGACACAAGGTGTATTAAATATTTATTTACTATGTATAGTTTCTATGTGTCTGCTTACATCAGGGTAACAGTCGCCCAGAGGTGGGAAGTGAAACCGTGCTGCCCCAGAGGGGTCAAGGCTGGTTACGGCCTCCTGCATTGGCCTGGGTACTGCGGCATGCTCAGATACCCTCTTGTTTTGATTAATACCTCATACAATCCAGGGACCGAGACCTGCTATTTGAAACAAACTCTTGCTCAAACGTCACCTTACTTGCTTGCTTTCCCAGCCACCTCAACTCACCCCTAACATGCTATTCCACCACCTTAGCACATTCCCACTGAGGGGGTGTGTTACAAACTGCTTCCCATTCATGGGAGGAAGGAAGACTAAATATCTAATAAACGTATCCTCTCCTAGCTTCTATAGGCACCCTACAATTCAGATAACCCCCTTCTGACTTTTCTGAGGGCATTTCGCTTTGCTCGCTATCCCTTACCCCACCCATCCCGCTGAGTGACCCTAATAAGGCCATTTCCTTGAACCCACCTAAGCTGCCTATTGCAGGTCTGCAGGGCAGGACAACCTGCTTGGCTCCCCTCTTTCTACCGGGGTCCTCAGGTTTCCTCGAACTCCAGGCACACCCATTCCCCTCCCCTCCTTTTCTCCCCACCCCGCCCGCCCGCCTTCACGACCCCCTCCCCGTCGAGGGCAGCGCGCCGCTTGGGACGGGGCACGCGCCCTCCCCCCTCCCGCCCCATTCCTTTCTCTCTCCCTCCCGCTTCCTCCCCCAAACTCGCTCCCCCAGGTGCTCCCTCCGCCTCTCCCCGGGGTGGGCGTGGCCGTGCTGCTGGCTGCGCCCCACCCCTTTTCTCTCTTTCTCTCTCTGCCTGAGAGAGAGAGAGAGAGAGAGAAGAGAGAGAGAGAGAGAGACTCCTTGGCGCGGAGCAGCGACAGCAGCCGTGACCTCCGACCCCGCCCTCCGCCAGCCAATAAGAGCGCAGCTCGTCTCCGAACCCAAAATTTCCACGTCGGCAAAAGTCAAGATGGAGCGGGGCTCGCGGGAGCCGGGCGCGAGCGAGCGAGCAGCGGCAGCAGGAGGAGCAGGATGAGGAGGAAAGGGAGAGCGGCAGGCGGCGGCGAGGCGGAGGAGGACGGAGGGAGGCAGGCAGGCAGGCAGGCAGCGGGGTGGGGTGCGGTGCGGTGCGGTGCAGGCAAGCAAGCAAGCAGGAGGAAGAGGCGGCGGCTGCTGCTGCCGCCGTTGCAACCCCGGAGTGGGAAGTGGGGGCGCTGCCTCCGCCAGCAGCTGCGGCCAAGATGCGCCGCCGCTCGGCGCTACACCAGCCCCTTCCCCTCACTCCCGCGCTGGGGTTTGTGAATGGGGGGGAGGGACGACGCCCGGCCCTTCCCTCCCTCCCTTTTTGCACCGGGGGCCGCTGCAGCTGGCAAGGACCTGTTGCATTGGGAGCTGCTCCAGGTGCAAAAGGGGGCGAGGTGTGTGTTGGGGGGGGGCACACGACGGAATTGCTTGCCATGTCGACGCCGCCTCCTCTGCACCTTCGCATGGCTGGGGGGGGGGGGGCGGCTCGCTTCCCTCTTGCACGGGCAGGGCTCTCTTGCCTGCGACGCCGCCTCCGCTTTGCCGTGCATGCTCGCAGCCGGGCTGGGTGGGTGGGTGGCGGAGGCTGCTGCCTTCGGGGGCGTCGCGCCCGGGCTCGTGCATATCCGGATCCGTTCGCGGAACAAGACAGGTGGGCTTCCCCCCTCCCAGGACCAGGCTGCAGAACCTTGCATATAAGGGGGTTGGTTTCTCTCGGGCGTCGCTTGGTGCAAAGAGGGTGTTTTAATGCTCCGGGTGGGTGTGTTGTGGGGCAGCATTGGTAAGCTTGCATGTGCAGCGTGTGCATTGTACATGGACGATATATGTAGACGTGGCCTTCTGTGATCTTCCCTAGTAGCGCTTTGCTGCCTCCACCCTTTTTTTTAAGGCAGTCCCTGTAATAGGTGCCTGGTGTCCTGTCTTCAGCATATGGGGAATGGGCTTTGCCCCTGCCTTGTCATCTTTTGTTTTCCAGCTGCCCCTTATTCCTCAGCTGGTTGGGGGTGGGGGAGTAAGCTGCCAACCTGGGCTGTGCTTTAAAGGAAGCTTTCCCCCTCCCCCAATGGTGCCAAGTTGAAGAGTACCTAAGGATAGGCCCCTGCTTGCAGCTGGGAATCCAGCTGGTGACAAATTCCTTTCTCTCTGTGGTTTTCAGATCTGTTTCTTGGGACCCCCCAAACTGGAATATGCTATCTAGGAACAGGAGCCTGCTAAATACCAAGTTCTGGCTCCTTGGGTTACCTAATTGTATATAAGTGGCTTGCTTGTTGTCTTAACCGCATCTCTTAATTCCTTCATCCTCCTCTTATTTGGCAAGAAAAGGATGCCTTGCAGTTGACGAAACTCCCTTTAGTGGAGAAAAAGAAGATTTGGCCTTTGGAAGCAAAGTTCTGTGACACTCAGACTCTGATTATGATAGAAGTCAGTGCACTACAGAACTTTGTCTCCAGGGGCTGCAGCAGCCAAGGAGTTAATGCAGCACTCCTGAAACCCAGGTGGACACGTCACTACAAGCTGCTTCCAACAGGGTGGGATGGGAGGGCTTGAAAGCAAATGGGCTGGAAGAGGTGGCACTACTCAGAGTGGTTATGCAAAAGCACCAGACTGTATGCCTGTGTTTAAATAAAGCCTTTGCTCTTTTGAAGATTGTGGCCTCCTAGTTTCTGAAAGCTGAAATAGCACAACATCTGGATATTTAAATGTGCTGTTTTACTGAATGGGGAAAGGTGAATGATACGCTGAGACTAGCTGAGAGCTCTCTTAATGTCACAATAAAGTTGGTTTTTAAGGTGCCACAATGTAAATGCTAATAACTGTGCTGGCTGTTGTGTTCTGTAAAATAACCTGTTTTTTCTAAATGCCACTGTAAAAATTGCTTTGCTAAATATACTAATATTCTAAAGGAACTAACAGTAGCCTTTCTTACCTAGTCTTTGAACTTGTCATGTAGTTCAGATACTAGGTAATAAAGGCTACAGGCAGTGCACCACTTTGATGGGGCTTGAACAGTTTCTGTAGCACTACCTAAGCTACACTCCTAGACTCACTTGGAAGTAAGTTGCATAGAACTTGGTGAAACTTAGATTCATAGGTGGGATCATGCCACAAGTTCATTATGCTTGCTATTTTTCTGGAATACTTAATATGTACCAGATTTTTGCTTTCTTAACATCACCCCTTAATTGTAAGAAGGTTTTTAAAGAGTAAAATTTAATATGAAAGCTTTTGTTCAGGGTATAGTAGTATGTTGCCACATATTAGACTTGTTGGAGTAGGTATTGCTGTCTTATAGTAAAGGGGCTTTGGAAAATTGATCAGGGTCTAAATCAGGTAACATTTTTTTTTTTATAGACAGAATATATTTGAAGAGTGTAATATCTGTAAAATTCAAAATCCTTTTTTAATAAAGGTAAACGTTTTAGTAAGAACACAACTGATAGTGTGCCTGAATAGAAGCTGTAGTAATACGTTATTGAAAATACAATTAAGCATGTTAACCACTAGACACTTTGGCTGAAAGATGTTTCCTCAAACTTTAGTATAACGTTAACCTAAAATGTTAGTTCTGAAATGAAACATGTCCTTAAGACTTAAGTTTTTCCATAATTAAGCAACCTTTCACTTCCAACGTGGAGACTTACTGAGATTTGGCAATAGCAAAAGTAGTTACTCTGTCAGCCAAGCTGGGGGGAGGGTAAAGTAATTTTTAGCCATAATAGAAAACTTTACTGACCCTGACCCTTTTCCATCTGCAAGACCGTCTTTTATAGCCCATTTCATGCAAACTTTGGTAGAGGGGATGTTGGAGACTTACTTTTGCTGAATATCTCTACACCAATTGTTTTCTGCTTTGAAACTTTTTTCAGAGGAGCAGCAATGTTTGTTTTTACTGCACCAAACAGTATTGTGTTGCCTTAAAGATTTACAAACTCATTTTGGCACAAGCTTCCCTGGGGCTACAGTCCACTTCTTCAGATGATGCTGTGAGGATCTGTGCACATGGTTCAGGGATGGCGGGCTTATATACCATCCCTGCAACCCAGGATGTTGCAGGTAGGTTCATGTGGACTGTAATCCAAAAAAACCCTATGCCAACAGTTTATTGCTTAGTACTTTAGGTGGTGCAAGACTTTTTGTTTATGCTTTGAGTGTGGCTTATATCAAATTTTGCAACATCTTGAAACATAAGACTATGTAGAAACACTTCTTACAATTAAAGTTCCACTATTTGCCTAACATCTGCTTCAAGCTCTTCGAATTCCAAAATGGGCACCCACTTCGACTCTTGCAATGGAAGCCTTGCTCAGAACCAGCAGCCCTCTATAAAACAGTGTAAGAACAAATGCAACATTTGAAGCAAGATCTCCAGCATTGAATCAGCTCCATAGATTTGATGCATTTTCAATGTTGCATTTAAGAGAACCTCCCATTTACTTTTTTGGGATAAGTGCAGGATGTGACTTTTGAACAGCGCTTAAAATCCTGACCTGGTAATTTGCTAGAAAACTCAGTTGTTTGCTTATGCCATTGCAGATGTTTTTAACAATAGCTCACACTATTGGGTGCTGCTTCCAGTTTTGGTGTGCATGTTGAAACCTTAAGTGTGTGTGTTTTACTTTCTCTAAACTGCACCTTCTAATGCATTTATTGGGTAACTTCAATAAAGCGTGTGGAACTTGTCCTCTGGCGCAAGTGGTTTGAGGAGTGCAGCTTGCACCTCTCAAGCAGAACATTTTCCAGGCGCTGATCAACTGTGCAAACATGGTTTGGCCTTGTACTGGTGCAGCAGTTGGTAAAATGCATGTCATTCATCTGCTCCTTTCCCACAATGTGTTTACCTTAGCAGGTCATGTGGTACATTTGCCAGATTTAGAAATATGCTTAAAGGGGCATTTTGATTAAATGTTAATAGCAGGAAGCTGTTTGATCTTAAGGCAGACCTGGAAAAGCCTTGAAACCCAGCTCAAAATTTCGGTGGCATACTTTTAAAGGTATACCTTTTCTTAGAATAATCCAAAGATCTTGATAGTTTGCTAATTCAGTCTGCATCATGCAAGAACAATTCTCTGGTAATAACCAAACTGTTTTAAAGCATTTGATTTCCCACCGCAACCCCCCCCCCCCCGCCCCGATATCAGAACTAGATGCAAAGGGCCATTTTGCCTTTAAAAAACAAATAGCATGTCACTCCATTCTAAGGCACTTAGCAGATTTTGCATTACAGCTGCATCAAAATATTCCCCTTTCCTCAGAACGGTCCCCCCCCCCCCATTTTGGGTCATCTAATACCATGCTCCTTTTGGGCTTTCTCTGGTGCGTTTATCCAATGGATTTTAGCAGGACTTGCTTCGTGTAGGTATGCATGGTACCCATAAAAGCAAAACAGTACATAGCAATAATGCATAGCATGTGGTGAAGTGCCCCCAGTGTTAGATGCGTTTCACATCCCTTATTGTATTGTAATCCTCACAAGCAGCCCTGTAAAGAAAGGCAAGCATTGTCCCCATGTGGTGGGTGTAAGTGGTTTTCCTAAGACCACTATTAATTGAATGGTAGAGCGATATTTCACTTGGGGACAATAGGATTTGTAGCTCAGTCTCTTGGCTGATATACCAGTGTTTGAAGACTTGTCTAGTTCTTTCTCCCTTTCCATGTGTGACAGCTCTGAGCTCATTTCACAGTTATACAGATTGTTATAGAACTATATAGTTTAGTGGCGCTTTGAGTTTAAAAAATAAACTGGTTTCTCTCCCAACCCCAGAATGCAATATCAAGTTGTGTTCGGAGTACCTTTTAAGTCAACAGTGCTTTGGACTGTGAAGCATCTAGCAACATTTGCAAGTCCTTTTACATTGTAGAAAGAGAACGACCACTATTAAAACAGCATATTTGGACACCTGAGAACTTAGTACGTAAAGTTTAATTGACAGCAAGCTTTGAATAGGGGCAGTGACTTGCTGGTGTGGTAGTAACAAAGTGGGCAGAGACCTAAGGTTGTATATCAGGTGTGGATGACCTTTGGCTTTCCAGATGTTGCAGAACTATAGCTCAACATCATAGGGATGCGGGTGGTGCTGTGGTCTAAACCACTGAGCCTCTTGGGCTTGCTGATCAGAAGGTCAGCTGTTTGAATCCCTGTGACTGGGTGAGCTCCCGCTGCTCTATCCCAGCTCCTGCCAACCTGGCAGTTCAAAAGCATGCCAGTGCAAGTAGATAAATAGGTGCCACTGCGGTGGGAAGGTAAATGGCATTTCCATGCACTCTGGTTTCCATCACAGTATCCCATCGTGCCAGAAATGGTTTAGTCACACTGGCCACATGAGCCGGAAAGTTGTCTGTGGACAAACACCGGCTCCCTCGGCCTGAAAGCGAGATATGCACTTCAACTCCATAGTCGCCTTTGACTGGACTTAACCGTCCAGGGGTCCTCTACCTTTACCTTACCTCATCATCACTGGCCTTGTTTGCTGGGGCTGACTGGAGTTGTCCTTCAGCAACACCTGGAAAGCCAAAGGTCACCCCCTTATGGTGCCCAGCATTGTATTCGGCTGCTATTAAATACTTCTGAATTGTTTCTGCTAGTCCTGTACTGCAATTTTCTCCTGTGTTTTCCAACCATTCTCCATCAAAGAAGGAGAAAAGAAATTGCATTTGGAAACTTATCAAACAAGCGAGGGAACGCTGGTGGTGAAATTATCCTGGTACTGGTGTAGGGTTTTTGTAGCACTTGCCTTCTGAGTGGGCAGAAGAGTTTTAGTGAGTCCTTTCATTCTATAATTTTTAACCAGTGGTCTGCGCTCTTCAGTCTTCTCAGGTATTTCAATTAAAGCTCAAGGGAAGATTCCACGAGGTGGATCCTCCCATGAAACTTTCAAATCGGAAAGCTCAGGCAGCTTGGAAGGTTGCAGAGAGCGGGGGAAATGTTTACAGTGGTACCTCAGGTTAAGAACAGTTTCAGGTTAAGAACGGACCTCCAGAACGAATTAAGTTCTTAACTTGAGGTACCACTGTCTTGGAAATAAAAACGCACCACCCTTGATCGCCTTACAGTAATAAGGTAAGTTTATAGTGCTGGACCCACTGAAATTCTCAAATGAGACGGAAAAATTAAAGCGCTTCTTTGCAACAGATTAAAACACTTGAAAGATGTGGAGATTCTTCACAGCACTGATTTCTACAGTCGCTGTTTTATGCTGTTGAGTATTGCCCAGCAAGTGTATCTAAAAATCTTATTTTGAGCAGTGGCGTAGCATGGGTTGTCAGCACCCGGGGCAAGGCAAGTAATTTGCGCCCCCTAACCCGTGGATTTGTGCCCCCTAACCCATGGATTTGCGCCCCCTAACCCGTGGATTTGCGCCCCCTAACCCTAACCCCCAGATGTTGCGCCTGGTGCGCCCGGCCCCCCCTGCACCCCCCACGCTACGCCACTGATTTTGAGTATGCAGCAACATTTTTTGAGTCGATTGTTAAATAGCTTTTTTTCCTTAACAAGTATTCAAAGTCAAACTGAGGTAAATAAGTGGCTGTTAAAAATTGGGGAAAGCAATTATTCCAAACTTTCTTAACACATTTAGAAATCTCTGCATTACTGTGGATTGAGTTTGTGAAACCTGTAGGCAATTTCTCATTCTGCGTTGAGATCACAAGCCTGAAAAGTACAGTATCTCATTGTGAAATGGGGTTTGAGCAGTACTATAAATAGGAGGAGGAGACAGTATTGGGCAAATCTGAGTGAATTTGGAAATGGCCATTGTTTTTGCTATTTTATGCGCAGAATTAAATGGGACTTCTGCAATGTGGTATTTAAAAAATGTTGGTTCTGATCTAGAGAGCCGTAAATGTAAAGGAATCTGGGTATCTGAAGGAATAACTGCTCCCATATGAACCTGCCTGTTCAGCTGAGGTCCTGCCCCGGGTGGCTCACCTTGAGAGGTGAGATAAGTTGGCTACGGGGTACAGATCCTTTTCGGTGGTGGCACCCAGATTGTGGCAGCACCGTCCCTAATCACACTTGCCAAGTGTATGGTTAGCATTTTGTAGGTGCCAGATGCAAACCAGATGATTGCCAAAGCTTTCATAGCATCTAAAACTAAGATTTGTTGAGAACATCCTTTGTGTACTTCTCTTTTCCATCTGCCTTTAGATCTGAACTGGTTGGAGAGCAGCATTCGTTTGATTAAACCATGTTTGCAATTTGGCACCCTGAGAATCTATCTTCACTTTTTCAGACTTCTACTTGGTGTTTGCTCTTAATGCTTGATGCTCTTCTTTGATTTTATTCTGTTTTTTTAGTCTTTGACAATGGAATGTGTTAATGAGAGGGTTGGATGTTGTTGTTTTTTTAATGGTGTTGCATTGCCAAGTGATTTGAGGGCCCAGTTTGTCTGAAATGACAGGGCTAAGGGAGGATTCTAGTAGTCAAGAATAAAACTTAAATTATTTTGGGGGGTCCCTCCTCCATAAAATGCTAGTACAGTGGTACCTCAGCTTACATACGCTTCAGGTTACATATGCTTCAGGTTACAGACTCCGCTAACCCAGAAATAGTGCTTCAGGTTAAGAACTTTGCTTCAGGATGAGAACAGAAATCGTGCTCCGGTGGTGCGGCGGCAGCAGGAGGCCCCATAAGCTAAAGTGGTGTTTCAGGTTAAGAAGAGTTTCAGGTTAAGTACAGACCTCTGGAACGAATTAAGTACTTAACCTGAGGTACCACTGTATCCGTTTCCCCCCTCTTTAAACATTACTATCTTATTCCTTTTCAATATTTGCTTCAAATTTTGAAGTAAATAAACTTTATCCAATTTGATTCTTCATCTACAGTGAGCGCAGTCTCTGTTGGCCTTTTTTATTTTATTTTGCAAAGATAACAAAGATAACAAGATAAAACAGCCCTGTGGCATTGACAATAAGAATATATCATCACTCCTAACATAAATGTATAGATTAATATTGACAGTCTAAATCAGTCATCCCCCAAACTCTGCCCTCCAGATGTTTTGGGACTACAATTCCCATTATCCCTGAACACTGGTCCTGTTGGCTAGGGATGATGGGAGTTGTAGTCCCAAAACATCTGGAGGGCAGAGTTTGGGGATGCCTGGTCTAAATGACCTGTTAGCTTAATTTCAGCATGCTTTGGAGATAGCCGAGCTTAGGGTCAAAATGATTGGGTTGGAGTGTGTATGTGAGAGAGCAGCAATTGAATCCCAAAACCCTGTTGATTGGCGAAGGACTAAGATGGGCGAGGCCAGGGATCGGACACCCACATGTGAATGTTGTTTGCAGTGATGCTACCTACTCACAGGCAGGGGCCCAGCATTTTCAGACAGCTGCTGTCCAAAGGAAAGAGCAAGATGAAGTAGTTTCATCACCCACGTCCCATTCACCAGGTTGCTACATTTTTGAGACACAGTACGGAAAGTACTTTTAATCTTAAGGCACCCACACAGCTGTGTTCTTCCTGTTAGCTATCAGTAGAACAGGTTGACCCCAGTTAGTTCAGTGTGGCCAAGTTTGGTGGAGTTGAACCTGTGCCTAAAATTCAGGTATGCTGAAAACCTGCTGGCTTGCAGAACAGGTAGCTTTTCAAAATCTGAGAGTATGCCCTGTTTGCATATCTATTTGGACATAGAGACTGCTTCCTTGGGAGGGTTTTAAGCAGAGGTTAGGTGGCCATCTGTCATGGACGCTTTGGCTGAGATTCCTGCTTTGCAGGGGGTTGGACTGGATGACTCTCGAGGTCCCGATCCTATGATTCTACGATATATGTCAGAATTGATGTAGAGTGGTACCTCAAGTTAAGTACTCACGTAATTCATTCCGGAGGTCTGTTCTTAACCTGAAACTGTTCTTAACCTGAAGCACCACTTTAGCTAATGGGGCCTCCTGCCGCCGCGCCACTGGAGCACGATTTCTGTTCTCATCCTGAAGCAAAGTTCTTAACCTGAGGTAATATTTCTGGGTTAGCAGAGTCTGTAACCTGAAGCGTATGTAACCTGAGGTACCACTGTATTATTTTATTATGAATGTGAGCTGACATTTTTTCCCTTTTTTCTATTTGTGTGTGTGTGTGTTTGTGTTTGTGTGTGTGTGTGTGTGTGTGTGTGTGTAATAGATGTAAACATGCAATCAAATCATGTGCTTTCCTCTCCCATGTTCATAGAACGGGAGACGTCGAGTGTAGGCACAACTAATTCTGTCTCAGGCTTGATCAGATACAAATTTAAACGCAGAATTTTACACTCTGAAATGCTCTTGAATGCAGATTTAGTGGATCTAGGTACTTGAAAAGTAGGTTCTGCATAGGGTTGTACTTGACACTGAGCTGAATTTTGTGGGGGAGATAATGGGACTTTTCTGAAGCAGCAAGCCCATTCTGAATACTCCCAAGGCAAATCTAGGCCTTCCTAAAGCAATTTGGAACAGGACAAAGCTGCAGACAATGTGTTGGCAAAACGTTGCATTTTCTCCCCAAGTTTTGCCTATAAGGGAAATGCCTAGGGGTTGGGGAGCGCTGGGGGCATATAGTTTCGTACCTGGCTTCTACAAGGGGCTCTCCAATCACAATGTTTTTGGGGATGCAAGTTGAATGAATGCATCAGCCTTGATCTTGGCGGCTCCGTAGCCATTGTTAATTCTGCGGGTGCTGCTCGCTTGGAAGACGTTAGATGCTCAGTTCCTTCTGCCAGATCTGCACATGTCCAGTCTTGTCAAATCTGCTCTGCACTTGGCTTCTGTGAGTTGGGGCCGATGGAGTAGAACAGAAGTCTGAAGCTGTTTCCCTGTCCCCATTCATCAAAAAGCCCATATCTGCACCTATTTTTCTCAGAGTTCACTTTGCAAATTACAGCTACTAACTAGAAGCACTTTTGTCATGGGTCATTTTCATACAAATGGTTCACAAAACCTCAGGGAAGGGAGCAAATCCTTTTTTCAGTCCCCTTTAAAATCAACTTGGAATGTGCCATGCATAAGCCCCTTGTGTTTATCCTTCTGAAATTTAGCAAGTGTCTTACCAAGGTGGACCCTCTCCAATGTATGCTATTTTCATATACAGTGGTACCTCGGGTTACATACGCTTCAGGTTACAGACTCCACTAACCCAGTAATAGTACCTTGGGTTAAGAACTTTGCTTCAGGATGAGAACAGAAATTGTGTCCCGGTGGCGCGGCAGCAGCAGGAGGCCCCATTAGCTAAAGTGGTGCTTCAGGTTAAGAACAGTTTCAGGTTAAGTACGGACCTCCGGAACGAATTAAGTACTTAACCCGAGGTACCACTGTAAATTGCTCACAAAACAATTGTGTGCGTGTGACAAAGTTTGGTTTTTTTTAACCATCTCCAAACCCCCATATGCCTTCTAAAACTTGACGATCTTCATGCTCTCAGTAGGAGCTGCTACTACTACACACAAATATGGAGTAATCTCAAACTTTAAGGGTGCCCAGAGCAAACCCTGAACCTATTTATTTGGGACTTGACAGGTCTTGTTCACTTAAAAGAGGCTACTCTGTCTGCAAGTTTCATTAAGTTCCGCCAAGAAACAGTTTCTGCCATTGGTTGATTTTTCACATGAGAGCAGAGAGCATTCAGAAAGGTTCTGATTTGTAGCAAAGGCAAAGCAGGTGTTCTCCCAAGCAGTCAAAGCTCAGCGCAGGCCAATTTCTGAAGTGCCAAATCAAAGTTGGAACCAAATATCACTCATCTTATTTATTCCATAACATTCATATACTGCTTGATTGTAGAAAAAAACCCCTCAAAGCATTTTACAGAAAGAAATAAAGCAATGTGATCAGTGCATACCCTTATTTCTATAATTAGTCACCTGTAGAGTGGAAAGTTTAAGGGGAAGCAATATAAAGATCAGTGAAACTACGTGTGAAATCTACAAGCTGAAAATAAATTGAACACACAGATCTCATGGGTGAGGAGAGAGTAAGTCACCACAGAAACTAATATATAAAAGCATCTTGCTGGTTTGGAGCAGGCCTTGTTTGCAACCTGATCAGGTCTGTTCTTCCAGCTCAAGCACCAGAGGGGATTTCAAAAGCAGAAGATCAATAGATGAGGTTCTGACTAACTTCAGCAAAGCTGTACCCAGGTGAAGGAGGATAACAAGTTTAGGCTACGTGGGCTGAAGAATATGAGAATCTCTTAAAAAGCAGAATTGTATCAACAGATGGTAGCTAGTGCAGATTAATGATGGGAAAGTGTCCACTGTTTTTCCTATGGCTGTGTCCACAGGGTGAACTGCAGACCTTCCAAGTATCCCTATTTTCCAGGGACAGTCCAGGATTTACAGAAGCTGTCCCTGTTTCTGATTGATCCTAGAACGTCCCGCTTTTCCATAAGACTTCCTTGTTTTCATTGGAGAAATGTTGGAGGGTATGGAGTTGCATAACCCCTGAGCCAAGGAGATAAGTCACTAGACAACCTTTAGAAGACATCTGAAGCCAGCCCTGTATAGGGAAGTTATTATTATTAATATGTTGGAAGCCACCCAGAGTGGCTGGGGCAACCCAGTCAGATAGGTGGGGTATAAAAAGTACTATTAATGTTATTGAATAGGACGTACCTATTTTCACTGGAGAAGTGTTGGAGGGTATGAAACTTCTTTTGCAACTCAGGCAAGTGCATGGACCGCTGGCATAAATCTGACCCATGGTGAAGAAAGCTAAAAAGAGAGGAAGTAGGCTATACATCTGACAAATTCTTCACTGGTTTTTACCAGCTTCTTGTGGTTCAGTCTATGAAACAAAGTCCCCAAGCAGCTGAGAGGCTCATTCATCTGTTCAATGCTGTTGGCATTCCTTGCCTATTTCTCTGGGAATCAGAATGACAGCAGGTTGCACAACTTTGCAGGGGAAGGGGCACAGATGCAGCCAGGGGTGACAACTTGAACAAAATACCGGGAGGGCCCAGGTAAGCCCTGCTGCACATAATTGATCACAAGACATGCCAAATACACTCACCATTTGAATGGCAATGCCCATCAACTTTGGGGAGGGGGGCTGGCTTCCTCAAATGTTTTATTTGGGTGGGAGCTGAAGGGACCTTGGCTCTAGGAATTGGCTCCTATGGATGTAGTAAATTAGGCGCAACAGCGTTGGATTTCTTGGACACCTGCCTTGTGCACCCTCGAGTGCGTGTGCCTGTCTGATAGGATTCACCAACTCAAAGGAGCTGCTTCGAAATGCTTGATCAGGGCTCAGGAGCCCAATGAAACGCCAGGCCTAACAGAGACTCATTCATCTAATCCTTGACTATATTACAAGACTCACTGTGTTTGTGCGAGATGGTGATTAATTGAGTTAGATGACATGGTCATTGTGTACTAGCAGAAGTAGTGTTCATCATTGTCTTGCCTAACTATAATATAATCCCCTTACGTTTAATCACGCGGAGCACAATTTGTCTTGATTGAGGAGGGCTGTTTGGCTGCGCTCAGCATTGTTCACCGTATAACAAGCAGGGTGGGATTTCGTACAATGGCCAGATCCTAACTTACTCCGGCCAGAGCTCAAGTGCCTGGTAGTTATTGGCAGCTTCATGCAGATTTCCTCTGGACCAGCCCAGAGCTTCGTGGCCTCCATGATAACTGGGGCTGACCCAAGTGCTTGTGTCCAAATGCACAGTGTTCTTGGTGTGGTCTTTCCTTAACCACAGATGGCATGACTGGTGGTCCAGTAATGGGGAGTGGTCAGCCATGCTCAGATGACTGTCTAGTGAAGTTTGGGCTTATGCTGGCATCTTGGGCTTATGATGGATAGAGGATAGAGAGGAATGTGTGTGTAGTAATATAATAGTAATAGTAATTTTATACATACATAGATACATACATACATACATACATACATAAAAGGTAAAGGGACCCCTGACAGTTAAGACCAGTCGTGGCTGACTCTGGGGTTGCGGCGCCCATCTCGCTTTATTGGCTGAGGGAGCTGGCGTACAGCTTCCAGGTCATGTGGCCAGCATGACTAAGCTGCTTCTGGCGAACCAGAGCAGCGCACGGAAACACCGTTTACCTTCCCACCAGAGTGGTACCTATTTATCTACTTGCACTTTGGCGTGCTTTCGAACTGCTAGGTTGGCAGGAGCAGGCACCGAGCAACGGGAGCTCACCCCATTGCGGGGATTCGAACCGCCGACCTTCTGATCAGCAAGTCCTAGGCTCTGTGGTTTAACCCACACATACATACATACATACATACATACATACATACATATATACCCTGCCCATCTGGCTGGGTTTCCCCAGCCACTCTGGGCAGTTTTGTACAGCTCTGTCAACTGTACAAAGGTGAAAATCGCATTCTTTTTCTGGCACTTCAGTTCATTGGCTTGTGGCCCCTAGAAAGGAATGTGGCCCTTGGGTGGAAAATGGTTCCCCATCTCTACAATAAATGTCTGTTTAGCACCTCCTCCTCCTCCTCCAAAAGGTGAGGGAAGCTCAGTGGGGCATGGGGCAAGCTGCCCCCTTGCCAGGTTTGCAAACTGCGCCCCTTTCCCCACATCTGCAGTTCAGAGAGCTCATTTCAATCTTTGAATCTTCTGTACAAAAATCCTGAGGTGATTTACAATGGTAAATGTGGATCACAATTATAAGAGTTAAAACAATAAAGGAGAACATTAATAACCAAGGCAACCAGCAGCAAGAACCGTAAGCCCAATAAAACAGGAGAGCGATTGCTTTAAAAAGGGATATTACCATTTTAACTTGTCACTTAAATGCTGCCATTGAATCCTTTCCCGTTACAGGTAAGGCTGAGCAAAAATGGCCTCTCAGACAAGAGCACCACCAGGGTAGGATTTTGAGGGAAGTGCTGAGCAAAATTCCTGGAGGCGCCCCATTCAGCAGGGCTGACTATACATGCTGAAGTAAATGAGGAAGGCTTTAAGTTCAGGGCTGGTTCACTCATAAAGCAAGGTGAGCTGACTGCCTCAGGCGGCAGAATCCCCAGGGGCAGCGGATCCCAATGTCACTCTCCTCTCCCCCTTTATTCCCGATGAAGAAGTGGAATATAAATGCAGTAAACAGGGGCCTTGCTCTGCCCAGCATAATCGATCAGAAGATGTGGCACAGACACAGCATTTAAATGACAATGCCCATAAACTGGGGGGGGGGGGCAGACCCCTCAAATATTTTGTGGTGATAGTGGTGAACGAATCCCAGCCCCTAGGAGTTGGCAGCTATAGCAGTAAATAAATAAAAATGAATAAATAAGTTAGGCAAACATCTCAAATTGCCTAACTGCAACCCAGCTACCAAAATTATCCACATTATCTTCTCCAGAGGTGTATGGAAATTCTGCACCATTTATTGAGGAAATTGTAAAAGGGGGGTTATTTTAAACAACAAAAACAACAACCTGAAAATTCTTCCATGAGAATTTCCCCCTCAGCCAAAACGAAGCACCTCTACTGGAAAGAAGGCGTGGACACCCAGCAAGGGAACCCAGAAGACCATCTCAAAGGTGGGGCAGACATTATAAGTGAGAAGGTAGTCATTTTAGGTACAAGTTGCATAAGGCCTTTAAAGGTTAATAGGGAGGGGGGCCCCTATTTTTATTTATTTAATTATTTTGACAGGCTTTATATACCATTTAATCAAAACCTCTAAGCAGTTTACATCAAATATACACTAAAATTACTGACAGAATTGGATGCGGGGGGCGGGGGGGGGGAGAGTCGGCCTAATCTTTTCCTCCCAAAATAAAATTGACATTTAAAAAATATACGCTTTAAGATAAAAAGTACATATCAAAATATATGGCGAATATACATGTCTGGGTGGGCTTGCTGTAAAGAGAAGCAGTTTTCAGTAGTCTCTGAAAACAGTACATCAAAGGCATCAATGGGCAAGGAGACCAGAATGAGGAGGAGTACCAGGAAGCATGGAAGAAAAATTAATTGGAAAAAGCTTGCAAGTACCAAATAGGCTTAGGATTTATATATGTTATGTGATGAATTAATATGTTTAATGCTGAATTGATAAGAAAGAAAGATGTTAAGTGATCAAGTTAAGTTTATAAGAATTTTGATTTGGAAAACCATTAAAATGATATGCATTGAAATTCAACTAGGGGGATATGAGGAAGTCACTTAACAATGTTAACAAGATTAGTCTTAATAAGGTTATGATTTATGTTTGTTTGTTTGTTTGTGTATTTATAAGTTTGTGAAAATTAAATTTTTTGAAAAAAAAATAAATACATGGCGAATATACATGTCTGGGTGGGCTTGCTGTAAAGAGAAGCAGTTTTCAGCAGCCTCTGAAAACAGTACAGCAAAGGCATCAAGGGGCAAGGAGTTCCAATGTGCAGGTGCTGCCACACTAAAGGATCGATTTCTTGTAAGTGTGGCACAAAGGTTATGTGACACTTGTAAAAATGCCCACTCTGCAAATTGACCTGCCCTAGCTAACTAAGCCCAGAGACAAATTAGTAACTTGTAAGTGGGCCTACAAGCTGCAACAAAATGTTGCCATGTGGAGAGTTCATGATATTCCATTCCATTTGCCTTTGCCGTTTCCCGTTTCCCTCATTCCCAACAGTCGGTTGCTCCTGAGCCTGCTCGGAAATGATGTATGGATTAATAACTTAGGAATGAATAACTCAGATCCATTAATGTCAATGGCTCTACTCTTGAGTATAACTTTGTTGGATACAACCCTCTATATATTTCCTACTATGTTTCAGTTGTTGTATTTTTAATGTTCATTTACTTTCCTATAAAATATGTATGAAAAACATTTTGCAAGTCTGTCTCTCTTGCTGTGATTTATGCATTCGTTGAAGCCGCGGTATGTAGTGCTGGACACTGAGGGCACAAACAGTCTTCACAATTTCCCCAGCAACCATGAGGGCTAGAAACCTATTTTTAAAAAATAAAACACAACCTCTTCTTTACAAGTTGCTGACACACTTGGTAGAATGGACACTAGCATTTGCTTTTCTGCTGTTTCCTTGGCTGCTGCAATTCTACATGTGTGTCACACATAGGTCAACAGACAGCTGAAATACAGCTCAAGGGAGATCATTTGCTGTGGGTCCCCCCCCCAAAGATGTAGTAATTTGATTTTGAACCAGATTTCAGGCAGACAGATTTGACTTGTAAAAGACTTTCAGTTATGTTTTCGTAAAAGTGTTTCCTACCAGGATGACTACAGAAAACTGGTTTAGAGGAGCAAAGGGATAACACTGGGAATTATTAGGGAGCAAAACTTTTGCTGTGCACATTAAACAAAAGGTAAAGGACCCCTGGATGGTTAAGTTCGGTCAAATTCAGCTATGGGGTACAGTGCTCATCTCTGCTTTTAGGCTAAGGGAGCCAGCATTTGTCCACAGACAGCTTTCCAGGTCATGTGGCCAGCATGACTAAACCGCTTCTGGCACATAGAGAGCACATGGACACATCGTTTACCTATTTATTTGCACTGGTATACTTTCTAACTGCTAGGTTGGCAGAAGCTGGGACAGAGCAACAGGAGCGCACCCTGTTGCGCGGATTTGAACTGCTGGCCTTCTGATCAGCAAGCTCAAGTTGCTCAGTGGTTTAGGCCACAGTGCCACCTGTGGTACATTAAATACAAATGTTCGGTGAAGGAAATGGAGAGTGAATGAGGTTGCAGGAAATATTGAAGGTCTGAGACCGCCATAATCTGGAAATGCTCCCGCTACCTGTGAGTGGTATTTATACGTCTGAGCCAGAGATTTGTTTGTGGATAAGAGCTAGTTATCTGTTTCTGTAACAGGAGTAGGAGATTGTTCCCCTTCTTGAGGAACAACCTGCTTTCTTGCTATATGGGAACTGTCTGTGTCATACCACTGTGAAGAAGATACGACGATTCTTCCCCATTGGACTCATGACTTAGGTGCAAAAAGCTCTGTAGCCTGATGTTGCCTTCTGTGAGGAATAGGAAGAAATCTTGGTATTCAATTTTAATTGGATTTACTTCTGGCACATTTGTACTTTACCTTTCTTCTAGAATTAATGATATCTGACTTCTTGAATTAATTTTATAATGAATGGTTTTAGAGTGTTGTTTGTGCTGTACTTTTGTACTGTTTTATTGTTGTTAGCCGCCCTGAGCCCGGCTTCGGCTGGGGAGGGCGGGATATAAATAAAATTATTATTATTATTATTATTATTATTATTCTGTGCTATGGCAACATGGCTTTCCTATTGTTCCACTAGCCTCATTTGCATATCAAAAATATAGCTCCTTGCCATTTGTATTCTTAGAAAGCCGTCTTCGGGCCAAGCACATGAAGCTAAGGGTGCTTTCAGATGACCTGTTTATGGAACATTCATCCTGGGCTGGATCTATACAGCTATAAAAATGCTGTGAAACCCTATGAAAATAAACATTATAAAATATCACATTAGAAACTCTCGTTGACTTGGGATTTCAGCTCTACAGCACCACCTGGTGTCACATTGTTAAAACACATTTATAATGTCATAAGTCCAAAAAGAAAAATTCCTTATGGATGGCAAATCTAAAACCACTACATATGCATGGAAATTAGCATGGAAATATAGGTGGTTAGACAGTTCAAATATGCCCTTCTAAGTTCCTTCCAAAGTTTCCCTCTTCCCCAGCATAGAAAAAAAAGACCATGTGTTTGGTAAGTTTAAAATGATTTACTTACAATCTTTCCAGGTCAGATTCATGTGCCTTTCCATACAGCGTTCAGAAAAAGTTGATCAGGCAGTAAAACTTGGCTTAGTTACAGTGAGGAAATAAGCCAAGTTTTACTGCCTGTGCAACTTTTTCTGAATGCTGTATGGAAAGGCACATGAATCTGACCTGGAGAGTTTGTAAGTAAACTATTGGTATAGGAACTCAAGAGTGGCTTGTAAGTGGCATGCGGTCTGAGCTGCTGCAATCGGCTCAGACCTTCTTTCGCATTGAGCTTCTCTGGTAGAAGCCTTGATTACCTTGTCCCTCCCAAGGTGAGCTAAGCCTGGCAGAACAACTTACTCTATGGTCTTAACCCATTCATGCATTAGTTGAACTTAAGCATGTTGGTTTTATGAGGCTAATTACCCCACACTTCCCCCCTAAAGCTAAAAGCATTATGGAAAGCAAATTTTGTTGGGATTGCAGTTAGTGAGGAAAGGGTCAAGTTTCCCTTCCCCACATGCCACAGCCCTGATGGAAATTTCCCGCATGCCCCTGATCTGCTTTCCAAACATGCATTTAGCATCACATGCAGTTAGGGCCTCCGTAGTAGTTCAAACAGTAGTAACGGCAAAACGATTTTATGGACCTTGACTTCCAAGGCAGACTAGAGCATTTCTCATTTTGGAAATTAAGCAAAGAGTCTGGCTATGATCCAGTTTACTTACATATAGCTCCCCCCTTTTGAACAATACTATGCTTTGAGAGTACTCCCTTGAGAACCCCACTGCTCAATGAAAAAAAATCATATGATCAATCTGTGCTACAGAATTTAAAGACAAAGGGGCTGACATCATCAGGCAAAACTTTCAGGAAAGCACTCTGCTGCTGGGAGGATGTAGGTTTTCTATGGATTTAATTGGACATCTGGAAGCCCTTTTTTTGAGACAAGACAAATCTGATTAATATCTCTAATACTCCAAAAGAGGGAGGCTTCCAAGGCATCTTTATCTGTCATCCATCAGCTCTTGACATCCTTAGTATTGTATTTGTGGCTGTCATGGGAAAATAACTTGTGCAAACTTATTGCTCAACTCTCTCCAATAACGTTAAGCCTAGGTAGCTGGTTTTACCGGATATATATGACTTGGGACTTCAGCGGGGAACTATTTGGAAAATGGTAAGCTTAAAAGCCTGGCCCCTCAGTGTGCTCTGCAATAAAATCATTAAATCAATAATCCATAAATGTGACTTCTTTTTAGTCTTTCTATAAAGTTAAGTAGATAATGGCCACTAATGTGAGTTCCACTGCTATATGTGCTCTGACATACGGGACGCAATAGCTTCAGAACTGTAGCAGAAATGTCCTTACTGCATTGGCGGAAAACCTTTTCCCTTGCTGAGAATGAAAAACACCAGCAAGTTTAAATTTCCAGTGTTGTGCAGCACGACCCGAGGCATGTTTGCTAGAAGTGAGCCCCACTATATTAGGTGGGGCTTACTCCCAGGAAAGTGGGCATAGGATAAAAGCCAAAAAAAGCAGCTGCCTTGCACCAAATCAGACCATTATTCCATCTAGCTCAGGACCACAATACCTCAAGGACCGCCTCTTTCCATATGAACCTACCCAGACCCTGAGATCATCTTCTGGGGCCCTCCTTTGTGTGCCACCTTCTTGAGAGGTGTGGAGGGTGCAACATGAGAAAGGGCCTTCTGTGCAGTGGCTCCCTTTCTGTGGAATGCTCTCTCCAGGGAAATTTGCCTGGCGCCTTCATTACACACCAGGCAAAAACATTCTTTTTTGACCAGGCCTTTGGTTGATCTGTTTAACATCCTATACCCTTTTATCTGTTTAACATCCTGTACCCTTTTATGGGGCACGGGTGGCGCTGTGGGTTAAACCACAGAACCTAGGGCTTGCTGATCAGAAGGTCGGCGGTTCGAATCCCCGTGAGGGGGTGAGCTCCCGTTGCTCGGTCCCTGCTCCTGCCAACCTAGCAGTTCGAAAGCACCTCAAAGTGCAAGTAGATAAATAGGTACCGCTCCGGCAGGAAGGTAAGCGACATTTCTGTGTGCTGCTCTGGTTCTCCAGAAGCGGCTTCGTCATGCTGGCCACATGACCCAGAAGCTGCACGCCGGCTCCCTTGGCCAATAAAGCGAGATGAGCGCTGCAACCCCAGAGTCGGCCACGACTGGACCTAATGGTCAGGGGTCCCTTTTTAGCGTTTTAAAATGTGACTCTTTTCTGGGTGTGGGTGTTATTGAGTTGTTGTTTTTTATTCTGATTATATATGTTGTGATCTTTTCTGTGAACCACCCTGAGACCTCTGCGTATAGGGCGGTATATAAACCCTAATAATAATAATAATAATAATAATAGCCTGTCTGTCTGACTATATACAGTCTGGCAGGGACTCCCCAGGAGTTGAGATGTGATTCCTTCTCAGGCCCATCTGGAGATGTCGGGACTTGAACCTGGAATCTTTTACTGAGCTACAGCCAGGGGCACCATCTCCCAGGGGCCAAGCTCTTTTGGACCCTCCAGTATTTTGCGGGGGGGGGGGAGTCCCACCCCAAAGGCGGCAGCAGGAGAAGGCCGAGTGCCAGAGAGGAGGAGCCAATGGCCATTGAAGCCATGCTGGCGCTGCATTGGGCTCTGCCCCAGCTCCTCCTGACGCCATGAGTACAAGACTTGTGTCGCTCACAACAATGGCGCCCTTGCAATCTTTGGCACAGGTTGGTTTCTCTGACTACAGCCCTTCCTGAAGTCACCAATTAAGGCAATGGGCACAATCCTGAAAATGTTAGTCACTTCAAGTTCCAGGGCTAGTCATGCTTGTAGCCGGGGGGAGGGCAGGGGGACATCTGCCCTCCCATAAATCAAGGAAAGAAAGAAAAACATTTAATTAAAAGTAGAAATAATTAGAATACAGTGGTACCTTGGTTCCTGGACGGCTTAGTTGACAAAAACATTGGCTCCCAAACGCCGCAAACCTGGAAGTAAGTGTTCCGGTTTGTGAATGTTTTTCGGAAGCCGAACATTCGTTTTGGCTGTCAGCATTATTTCCGGGGCCAATCAGAAGCCATGCCTTAGTTTTCGAACGTTTTGGAAGTCGAACAGACTTCCAGAGCAGATTGCGTTTGAGAACCAAGGTATTTGAGATTGAAATGTTCGCTGAGGTCGCTTGGATGATGTTGTGGCGCCTTCTGGCGATACAACTGGCAGCCCGACTGAGCGATAGGCGTGGCTTCTGCAAATGGACCAATTGTGTCACAGGTTCTGGAACATGACAGGTGGGTGTCCTGGCCCCACTACCATAAATTCTGGCTATGCCCATGGGACTGGCCCCGCTTTGAGGCAAATGTGGGAATGTTCAGGGATGCAGGAGAGGATATATTGTTTGATTATAGCTTTTCCAACTTGTGTTAACAAGTTCACAATTTAGCAGAGTAACATTCCCCTTTTTAAACTCAGCGGATGCGTTTGCTCAGGCTCGCTTAAGCCTCTATAATAACTGTTCTGGCATTTCCCCCTTATTCCCTCATAACAGATAAGACACGACACAGTCTTCTATAAAAGTATAAAAAGAGTTTACTCACATTCTGTTCATAATCAGATCCCAGAAGGCAGACTTAGCTTAGAAAAGTAACATACACCTGGAAACTATCTCATAAGGAGACAGTCCCTCTGTCCTCTCTTGGCTGGAAGCATCTTTGGCTAAGCAGATGTTGCTTCTTCGATGCATGTAGTCAAAGAGAGAGAGATGGCTGCCCTGCCCTGTGCTTTTGTCATTACCTGCACAGGTGAGGCCAACCCACCTCTAGTCACATGCAGAGGAAGTCTGTCACAGCCCAGAAGGAAACAGGAAGTTTACCTGCTGGCTGGACAAACATTCCTCCCCATGTGTAAACATGTTCACTCTAGGAATGTTGTACTTGACTGCTCTTGTGTTTCACATCCCACAGCAAAAGGGATGTGGTAAATGCTGTGAGGTCTGTGTGTATGCATGCTAAGCAGCCTGCCCTGCGCTTTGTAAGCTAATCTGCTCTCCTCAGGTACAGTGGAGGACGTGGCCCCATCAACAGCGTTGAGGTAAAAAGTCTACTGCCAGCGCTGTTGGAACAGGGGAGAACCTAAGAAGAGCCTGATGGATCAGTCCAGCATCCTGTTCTCACAGTGGCCAACCAAATGCTTGTAGGAAACCCAGCTCTTCCCTCCTGCAGTTTCCAGCAACTTGTATTCAAAAGCATTACTGCCTCTGAATATGGAGACAGAGCACAGCATGGCGAATAGCCCCTGATAGCCTGATCCTCCATGTATTTTTTCCATAAACCTTCCCAGACTCTGCATTGCCCATCTGAGGCCCTTCTTCCACATGGGGTCTGGAGGGCTGCAACATGAGAACGGGCCTTTTCTGTAGTGGCTCCCTGTTTGTCGAATGCTCTCCCCAGGGAAACTCGCCTGGCGCCTTCATTATATATATTTTAGGTGTCAGATGAAAACGTTCCTCTTCAACCAAGCCTTGGGCTGGTTAATATTCTGCAGCCTTTTAAATGTGTCTGTGGGAAGGGGGCGGTGGATTATTGTTTTGCTGTTTTATTTCGATTATTTACCGGGTATTTGTTTTTAATCCTGTATTTTATTATGTGAACCACCCTGAGATCTTACGACGAATGACGGTATATAAATCTCAATAATAATAATAATAAATAGTCATAGTAATTTTTCTAATCCAAGACATCTATGTTGGTGGCCATCGCTGGGAACAAGTTCCATAATTTAACCATGTGCTGCATGAATAAGTACCTTATTTTTTGCTCTATAAGACTCGCTTTTTTCCTCCTAAAAAGTAAGGGGAAGTGTGTGTGTGTCTTATGGAGCGAATGCAGGCTGCGCAGCTATCCCAGAAGCCAGAAGAGCAAGAGGGATTGCTGCTTTCGCTGCGCAGCGATCCCTCTTGCTGTTCTGGCTTCTGAGATTCAGAATATTTTTTTTCTTGTTTTCATCCTCCAAAAACTAGGTGCGTCTTGTGGTCTGGTGCGTCTTATAGAGCGAAAAATACGGTACATTCTTTTGACTCCTCTAACATTCAACTTCATGGGTGTCTATGTCTGCTTTTTTAGTTTTCACAGGTGAAGGTTAGGAACATAGAAAGTTGCCTTATGTTGGGTCAGACCATTGTTCCATGCAGCTCAATATTATCTATATGGCAGGTTTCAGACAGCCCTATTTGGAGATGCCATGGACCACGTTTGGGACCTCCTGCATCCCAAACAGCTGCTCTGCCATGGATCCAGCAGTTAATGCCAAAGTATCTCTTTTCACCTAGAACATCACCTGAAATCTACTCTCCTGTCGCAGAATGGCCCCATACTATGTAACTCAGTACCCTTGTAATTCTGCATTTTCATGGCTCTGGGAGCCTTTGCTGGGTGTGTGGATTTTTTTACATTTGAAACAAATTACCCAATGAATCTTTTGGGAGCAACTGGATGCATCAGTGCTCTGTGAACTAGAGCTGGTCACCCTTGCCTCGATAGGAGGAGACTGTTTCAAAGGTTTGTGTGTCAGCAGCTCTGGTTGGCTGTTTCATGGGCAGCTCCCATATGAAATGTCAGATTGGGCCAATTGTGTACATCACCGTGTTAACGCAGGGACACAACCCGGGGGATTGGAAAACTCTGAATTCCTATGAGCATTATTCAAACTTGCTTTTCTTGATAATCAAGAAGGCAAGGCAAACAATTCATGACTTCGGCCCAGTGTTTGTTTACCGCGTTTGATGTTTACTGAGCAGTTGAAATCTTCCAATAAACCCTGGCGGCAGTGCTTCTCTTTTTATTTTGTATTTTTGCATTTGTCATAGTCACAAGTCCTGCTTTTCAAACGGAAGTCAGTCAGCTGGTTTCCCATTTTTCTATCCCTCCCCCAAAGCCCATGTTTTTCTATCTTTTCCCCTTCCCTTTTCTAACATTGAACCATCTTACTAGACAAGCGCATACAGAGCCCACCTACAGGGTTTAGATTAGCACTGCACTATACAAACAGGGGGTGCCTCCAGTTAGGGGTGCTTTTCAGTTTTTCTCCGTTTCCCCTTTTCCCAATTTTAAGTCCAGCTGTCCCAAATTTGACATTGGTTTGTGATCTTTCTCTCTCTTTTAAATAAAGAAGCCTGCATGAAAACTCATCAACATTGTAGTGTGTCTTTTTTTCTAATAATTTTTTCTAAAGTTTAAAACATTTTTTAAAATAAAATTGCCTAATATCATGCATTTTTGGTGTGTCATTTTCCACTAATATACACAGTTTTGTGCACACTTTACCCTGGTTACTTGGCTGGAGAACAGCACTGCTAAATTTGAGGATGTGGGAATTTTGAAGGAGGCCTTTGTTTTGGTGCGCATATTTTTTCAGCAATCACTTGCCTTTGAATGTGAACAGAGTCATATTTCTTCCCCATCCCTACTTCCAGACCACCTGCATATTGAGCATTCAACCTGATTTGTTTGCACCAGATTTTCAAAGAGGTTAGATGCTAGTGGTGGCTATTTATTGATCATTCATTCTGATTTGTTTTCAGGGAGGCTATATGATGTTGCATTGAGTGATCGTCATTTCTTATCCAGTGTGTTTCCCTGCTACTTTCTTTGCTGCAAAAAGTTGGATTGGAGGGTTGTTCTGCAAGAGCAACAATGAACTTTGATTGTGCAACCTGAATTTGCCAGTATGCGATTGAATCCTGCCCCAAAATAGTGACAGTCTGCAGGTGCCCAGGATGTCAGACAACATGGTCCAGTAGAGCAAAAGAAGCATGGGACTATGAGATGAGGTTTCAAGTTCCCATTCCTTGGCATATAAGCTTTAGTACCCTGACTATGACGGGATGCGGGTGGCGCTGTGGGTTAAATCACAGAGCCTAGGACTTGCCGATCAGAAGGTCGGCGGTTCGAATCCCCGCAACAGGGTGAGCTCCCGTTGCTCAGTCCCTGCTCCTGCCAACCTAGCAGTTCGAAAGCACGTCAAAGTGCAAGTATCACTCCAGCAGGAAGGTAAACGGCATTTCCGTGCGCTGCTCTGGTTTGCCAGAAGCGGCTTAGTCATGCTGGCCCCATGACCCGGAAGCTGTACACCGGCTCCCTCAGCCAATAAAGCAAGATGAGTGCCGCAACCCCAGAGTCAGCCATGACTGGACCTAATGGTCCCTTTACCTTTACCCTGACTATAAAACCAAAGTAAATTTACTGAACTCTCATATTTCTCCCCACCAAAAGTACAGAAAATGCAAATTTCCATTTTCATTTCCCTAGATCAACAGTAAAGAACAGTAAAGGAGTCTTTTTAAAAATAATAACAGGGTTTTAAAATAGAGAATGTGAACCAGAGCCCATTCTGTAGCATGGTTTTTAATTTATTTGTGTTTGATCACTTATTGTAATGGATTCTTCTAAAAGCTTGCCCCTGTTAACACCAGCTGCCCATTGGAAGAGCCTTGAAGAGCTTGTCTGTGGGACGGCAGGCGGGAAGAATTACTGGAAGTAGGCAATCAATTTTGTCATAACTGACTCTGCTAAGCCTGAATGCTGTTGCACCATCTGTAGGAGAATCCACATTTGGAGATCTGTTTCTGTGTAAACATCACCCATGGTTAGCTCATGCTATCCTGTATCCATATGGGTGGAACAAATGAGAGTTTAAAAAACCAGGTAGCAAGGCCTGAGGCAATGGAAGGGTCATTGTTCAGTGATACAGCATCTTCTTTGCATGCCAAAGGTTGCAGTTCAATCCCTGGCATGTCCAGGCAGACCTCAGTCTGAAAACCTGGAGAACTCCTGCCTGTCTACGTAGACAGGACTGAGCAAGATGGGCCAGTGACCACTAACACTACTTTCTATGTTCCTGCGACAAGATGGTGCCTCCCCTGCCCCAATTCCATGTGCAAAAGCCAACCAGACGGGCAGCTGAATCTTACATCAACATCCTCAACTGCACTTGATGTTGGTTGATTTGGTTAAAAGGGGAAATACTGTAAATTGGGTAAAACATAAAAAGGACAATTCCTTGGATGCCTAGATCCAGGTTTGGGGCAAGTATTCTTTCGTGAGAGGAGCCCCAACAGAGATTTAAAATCACAAAGCAGAAAAGTAAAGCATGGAAATATTGGCTGTTAGACCTTTAAAATGTCCCCTTCTAAGTTGCTTCCTAAGTTCCCCACTTCCCTTAGCGTAGAAAGAGACCATCCGTTAAAAATCGTTTCCTTACAAACTCCTCAAAGGTCACATTCATGTGCTTTCCCATACACCAGCAAGAAAACACAGGCAATATGACTTAGGTTCCAAAATGGTACAAGTTTCTAAAGTGTTTGTGTAGAAGCACAAAGATGCATGGGCATAGCTAGGATTTTTGTTAGGGGGGCAGAACTGATGTGATTGGTCAATTAGTTAAGTATTTCTGTTGCTTTACTTGATCCTGGGACGGCAGTTCCCCCGCTACACCCACGCAAAGATGGCTTACTTAAGCTATGCGGTCCAAGTTTGGAGCATCCAGCTTAGACCTCCTTACTGGGAGGGTTCATACGGTGGAATGTGAGAGTGTGTGACCATAAAGCCTGGCAGGACAGCTTACTCTATGGCCTTAACCCCTTAAAGCATTAATTAAAGTTACGTATGTAGGTTATATAAGGCTGGATATACAGTGGTACCTCGGGTTACAGACACTTCAGGTTACAGACGCTTCAGGTTACAGACGCTTCAGGTTACAGACTCTGCTAACCCAGAAATAGTACCTTGGGTTAAGAACTTTGCTTCAGGATGAGAACAGAAATCATGCAGCAGTGGCGCAGCGGCAGCGGGAGGCCCCATTAGCTAAAGTGGTACCTCAGGTTAAGAACAGTTTCAGGTTAAGAACGGACCTCTGGAATGAATTAAGTTCTTAACCCAAGGTACCACTGCATCCCACACTTGAAAGCAGCAGGCTAGCTTAGGGAGCACAGGATACAGTGGTACACACACCACTGCCCACTGCCTGTCCCTCAGCTTCTGCTGCCTGAGGCAACTGCCTCACTCAGCCTAACTGTAGGGCTGCCACTAGCAGGCAGGAAGAATAACCTGATACAAGGAGAAACCTGGAAGGAGGGAGCAGAGCCCAGAAAGAGATTCTATACAGTAGCAGAAGCAAAGTTGAGGCGAGGGCCACAAATAGGGCCATCAACAGTTAATAAAAAAGACTATTTCATAGTTGCAAAATGCTCACAAATCATGATGATGAGTATTGACATGTGTGTGTGGCTCAGAGGAAGCTGCCGTATGCCAAGTCTGACTGTTCAACCATCTAGCCTAATACTGTTTACTCTGACTTGCAGAGCCTATCCAAGGTCTCTTTCATGTGCATTTCACATTGCCTGCTATGTACACCTTTTAACTGGAGATACCAGGGTCCTGTGTAGAAACATGTCTTCTCCTGCAGCCCCAGTGCTTTGGTCTCAATAATTACAAATATTCCTCGCCACCAACACCATGCCACTTTTCTTTTCTTCTTACTCTGCTATTCTTCTCTTTCTCATTTTCTTCCTTTGCCTTCTCAGACCCTTATCTCCAAGTGTGACTCAGGCCCAGTTGGGATAATCAAACAAAGGAGAGGAAAAATGAAATGGGTACATCTGTTGTAGGGTGTTGTTTTGTTTTAAATTCAACCAGAGCAGAAGAAAGACAGTTCCTCAGAATGGCAATGCTAAATCAGTCCATCAGACTCGAAACGGAGATCTAAAAATACTACAAAGTAGGAGGGAAATGATGGCAAAGTCGCTGCAAAAAAAGGGGGGGGAGGGGAGAGTCCAAATAAAAACGCAACTTCCATCTTCTGAAAGAAGAAGAGGCAACTCAAAAGTGTAACTTGGAAGTGTTGCAATTCAGTATGGCAAAAGATAAGCAGGTTTTGCATTTGAGAAATTGCCATAAGATACATTGCAAATATGATCAGCCGCACTTTATTTAGTAGGGAAAGAATTTATTTTCTCCACATTATATGGTGCAAAAATCAACCCTTTTCTCTTTTGGAAAGATCACATCGTGCCTGCCTTTGGATTTGTTCTTTGCCCCCTTGGGGAACATCATCTTTCGGAATAGCTGTTTGTTTTCTCCCCTCCTGCATCTAGAAAAAAAATGTAAGATGTGGGGGGAAGGGCACACAATTAGCAAAACTGTAGCATATGTGGTAGCATGGTGCCCCCTGGTGTATATTTAAAAGCATGGCAGGTGCTTAGACTCCAAATTGCTGCCTGTCCTGCTGATTGAATCGAACAGCTTCCCGAATCAAATTCACAGGGTGAAGTGGGTTTTTTACTGGTTGAATTCCCTCCACCGCAGAACAATCCAAAGAGGTTTCAATACAGTTGCCCACATAGGTGCCAACTCTCTGGGGCCCTGGGTGCCCGAGCACCCACAAAATTCCCCATAGGAGGCTGGGCACCCACAAATTTCAGGGCCAGGGCCATGCACGCTGCGTGGCACCCACGGACCCGGGCACCCATGGTCGCGGGGCCAAGTTGGCACTCCTGATTGCCCATAAAGCTGGTGCATTTGGAACAGATTCAAAGTCCTCCATCCTCTATATTTTTCAGCTGCTACCCATTGAACCTTCTCAGTCTCTGGGGCATAGGAGCCAACTCCTAGGAGCCAAGGTCCCTTAGGCCCCCCAATAAAATATTTGAGGGGGCTGCCACCCCCCAAAGTTGATGAGCATTGGCATTCAAAAATAAGGAGGCTGCAAAGAACCACATCAAAAGCAATGTTTTTAATACACTTCCAAATTACACATGTCATTTCTATTCACCAGTCAAAGAATCACAGCAGTCTTAATACAGTGGTACCTTGGTTCTCGGACTTAATCCGTTCCAGGAGTCCGTTCAACTCCTGAAACAGTTCGGCCACCAAGGTGCAGCTTCTGATTGGCTGCAGGAGCTTCCTGCACTCAATCGGAAGCCACAGAGGCCGTATCGGATGTTTGGCTTCCGAAAAATGTTCGCAAACCAGAACACTCACTTCTGGATTTGTGGCGTTCGGGAGCCGATTTGTTTGGGAGGCAAGCCGTTCCAGTACCAAGGCACCACTGTAGTTGCAACACAATGTCATCATCCTGAACAAATCAAAATCATTTGGCTCTTCAGATCAGCCCTCATCATAATATCATGTGATTATATATAACCGTTTTTCAGTGTCTTTCTTTATTAAGACTTTGACTAATTTTCCTGTTTGTTAAATGCCTTCCAATGTTCCATTTCGTCTGCATACAAAACAATTCAAGATTAATCACGATTGCCATGCCAGCTGATTCTCTTTCCATGCATACAATGTCCACCATAGAATCTGACATTTTTCTTTTTCTTTTTAGTGTTCTGAAATGGACGTTCACAATGTACCGTACCTAAAAGCAGCTAGTTCTGTACTGTAAAAGACAGGTGCAGGCCCTTTTACTTTAGCTAGGCCATAGACTCAAAAGAAAGTGGAATAATCAAAATACAGTTTTATGAAATTATTATTTTCTACAATACCACCTCATCTGTCCTCCACTTATCTGAATGGTTTCTCTTCCCCCCTCCTTAAACCAGGGCTGAGGAACCTGTGGCTCTCCAGATGTGCTGGACTACAGTTCCAACCATCCCTAACCACTGGGCATGCTGGCTGGCCAAGGCTGATGGGAGCTGGAATTCAACAACATTTGGCTCAAGGGTAGGTGATCCATTTCTGGATCTGATGCCTCAGGCTGAAAAAGATTCACAACCCCTGATCTCAAGGACTACATGTTCCCAATCTCTGCCTTAAATTTGAACCCCTGTGCCTACTCACAGTTTCCAAACAAACAAACAAACAACAACAACAACAAAAATGCCCTCTATTCTCGTGAATTTTCTTGGGGAGGAATATTGTATGATTCAATCCTTAGCAAAGGTCTCAATCTGCCATTTCGGGGTGGGGGAAAGTATATCTTTTACATGTTGTGTTCCCAGCGCTGAGGGAAGAGGATGAAGATGTCATAAATGAAACAGCCCAGAGCATTTTCCATCAAGGAAAAAAGATGTCCTTTGAAATACAGAGAGCCCACAGAGAAATCTGGTTCCATCAGTGAAGCATCGCCTGTCATTTCAAAATCTCTTCCTGACAAACACTCACACGGTTTTAAAACAAAATAAAACTTGAGAGCTTACTTTGCCAGCTAACTTTAAAAATATCATTAGATTTCTATTCGCTTAGACGTTCTGATACATTAGTGCATTTCCAGGGGTCTGATGGCACAGGAGGGCAAATTCTTACGTTATTATCCCAATTTATCTTGCAGATGGGGGCAGACTGAGAAACAGCGCAAGGCCTCCTAATGAGTTCATTGCTCAGCAGAGAGTTGAACCAGGGAACATCTATCTCACACCTCAGCACTTACAACCACTTCGCTGCACCCGCTCTAATTGCATACTTTTTAAAAAAAGAAAGAAAAGTATCCATATAATCCCAAGTCCTACGATCAGGACAGGAACCCTAGATAGTAGAAAACTAGTTTTCTGCCGTTGGTTGATGATATGTTGTTGTTGTTGTCTGCCTCTTGAAACACGTCTATCTATATACCTTCCTGCCTACCTCCCTGTTTGACTTTGAATGATTGACATATGCACCAGCAAATCAAGCCCTGGCTCAGCTGTTGATCTTGCCCCTCTTCCAATGCACCTCCCACTGAAAACAGCAGATGTGGGAATGGGATGTTGATGGTAACTGTGGTGGAGACAAAGGGTTAAAGCTCCCTTCCTCCATGAAACGATCCTGATCTGGCTTCCTTGTTTCCCCGCTGTTGCCTATATGTTTGGTTTGGTTTCTAACCAGCTCTGCAATGCCAGACCTCACAAAAAATGTCACATCTAGTTTGGCCCCTAAGTTGCCACATTTTAAACAGACTATGCTCTATGCCTTGAACAACTGCACCAGAAGGGGAACTTAATGGGTGAAGCCTTTGCAATTCACTTCATCTCCATTCTGGGGAAAACCTCACCCAGAGTTCTAGGCCCCAAAGTACAGAGAGTCAGTGCACTGCCAGGATAATAGGTAAAGGTAAAGGGAGCTGACCATTAGGTCCAGTCGTGGCCAACTCTGGGGTTGCGGCACTCATCTCGCTTTATTGGCCGAGGGAGCCGGCGTACAGCTTCCAGGTCATGTGGCCAGCATGACTAAGCCACTTCTGGCAAATCAGAGCAGTGCACGGAAGCACCGTTTACCTTCCCGCTGGAGTGGCACCTATTTATCTACTTGCACTTTGACGTGCTTTCGAACTGCTAGGTGGGCAGGAGCAGGGACCGAGCAGTGGGAGCTCACACCGTGGCGGGGATTCGAACCACCAACCTTCTGACTGGCAAGTCCTAGGCTCTGTGGTTTAACCCACAGCGCCACCCGCGTCCCTAGTTTGCCAGCAAATGGAAGAGCAAGGCCATACCTACAAAAGATGATTGGCTGTGTAAACTAAGCGAGTTCATAGAAATGGCAAAGCTGACTGCCTGTATCAGAATGCAGACAAACCAAAAACTTAGACTAGAATGGCAATGCTTTGAAGAATACGTGGACAAATATTGTTCCAGAAAGAATATATGCTTAGATGAAAGGAGTAAAGCAGAAAGAACAACATTATCTAGGAATGTTATAAAGAGATAAAAATCCAAAATCTAAAGAGTGCAATGATTAGATTGAACTTAAAAAGTAAGGAAATCATGGTGTGATGGAGGGAAGTCGAGGGATGTGCTGGTGGGAAGGGATTGGGGGTGGGAAGGATTTATGTTTGTGTAAATAATAGTGTATTTTTGTGTGCTTTTGTTTGGGTAGGATGTACGTTTCTTTTGTTCTTCTTTCTTTTTGTATTTTAAAAAACTCAATAAAAAGAGAGAGAGAGAGAGTCAGTGCACTGATGGAAATCATGGGAGGACTTCAATATGGCACTCGGCTGACTGTTCCATCAGTGTGAGCTTTTCAGTTTACCAGATGGGGCGATTCCCCTCTCCTCCTCTGTGCACTGTTCTGCGTAGGTCTCCCACCACTCCCTGAACCAATTTCAGGGGCATGATGGTGCCACATGGATGGAGGAGTGGGGGCAATTCCCATTTACGCAAGTGGAAGACCTTGCACAGGGCTTCTGTTGATGGGACTTGTTAGGTGAATCCCATCCCCCCATCTATACATCTATACATCAACTTGATCCCATTCCCCTCTTTCCTTTTTCCTTTCTCCTTCTGTGATGGAACTCCTATTTGGGGATTTCACTGGCTTTTTTCTGGCCCACGTAGGACCAGTCTGGATAGTTGGCCTTGGTGAAGATTTGACGTTTTCATCCCCAAAAAGTTTTTGATTTGAGTTTCTACTGAAATGAGGCTGCATTTTATGGTGTACTTAATCTTGTTTTTAAGTTGTATTTTAATCAATTGTTTTTATACCTGGTGTTAGCCGCCCTGAGCCCAGTCTTGGTTGGGGAGGGCGGGGTATAAACAAACTTCTTCTTCTCCTTCTTCTCCTTCTTCTTCTTCTTCTTCTTCTTCTTCTTCTTCTTCTTCTTCTTCTTCTATTATAAGGGGGAAGCTAGACCTCCATAATTTCCATCTGGCCATTCTGGGCGGCTTTCAACAAAATATTAAAATACAATAGACCATCAAACATTAAAAGCTTCCCTAAAGAGGGCTGCCTTCAGATGTCTTCTAAAAGTCTGGTAGTTGTTTTTCTCTTTGACATCTGGAGGGAGGGTGCCACTATTGAGAAGGCCCTCTGCCTGCTTCCCTGTAACTTGGCTTCTCGCAGCAAGGGAACAGCCAGAAGGTCCTTGGCGCTGGACCTCAGTGTCCGGGCAGAACGATGGGGGTAGGTTGAAATCTAATTTTACTTAGTTTATCTCTGGGCAAACTATGTCACACATCTATGATGACATGCATTTTCATGAACTTGAGTCTATTTCATCCAAAGCACCTTTGGAATAGCTGATACACGATGTTAGCCAGACACATTTCTACACGGCATTTCCCCTGATATACACATTTTGCAAGCAACAATCCCTAATAGAATGCATTTTTTGAATATTACTTGCAGATATATATAAATCTGCACACACCTTCCCCTCAGTATATGCAGTTTTGTACACATTATTTGGTCGGAGAACTGTGTCCCAAAATTCAGAGAAGTATGGATTTTTAAGGCTAGCTTCAGTTTGCATATTGCTTGGGAAAAGTGTGAATTAGTTAAAAAGGTAAAGGGACCCCTGACCATTAGGTCCAGTTGTGGCCGACTCTGGGGTTGCGGCGCTCATCTCGCTTTATTGGCCGAGGGAGCTGGCGTACAGCTTCCAGGTCATGGGGCCAGCATGACTAAGCTGCTTCTGGCGAACCAGAGCAGCGCACGGAAACGCCGTTTACCTTCCCGCCGGAGCGGTACCTATTTTTCTACTTGCACTTTGACGTGCTTTCGAACTGCTAGGTTGGCAGGAGCAGGGACTGAGCAACAGGAGCTCTCCCCGTCGCAGGGATCGAACCGCCTACCTTCTCATCGGCAAATCCTAGGCTTTGTGGTTTAACCCACAGCGCCACCCGCATCCCCGTGAATTAGTTAGGTTCATGTTAAAATCTGAGCTGAATTTCTGCCTAGGAACACACTACAATGCAATATTCAGTTGTGTGTCCCATTAGTTCGCCTACAATAGCTTCTTAACAGATTGACGATGGAAAGTTTTCGTGGATTCTAGGTTCAATACAATCAGCACCATTATGAAACATCCAACAGTGTGAATGCAGGGAAAAGAAAAACCATAGGATTCAGTTTCTGTCTGAAGGCACAGCAGCATAACTGGGCAATGCATCATACTGTAAAATAAATAAAGACTGAAGTTCAAATTCTGGACTGAGCTTCCCCTGTCCAATCGTGTTAAGGCACAACATGCCCATCAACACCGAATATGGCCTTGAGAAGACAAAATTGTTCCCCATCAGCAATTTGCTCCCCCCCACTCCACAAAACAAAAAACCACAACCACATGTGGCGATCTTGCCATAGATAATGGTGAAGAAAGCCTCTTGGTTCTGAGCAAAGGACCACTGTGATGAGGAGAAATCTAATTCCAAGTAGAAATCTTTCTACTTGGTTACCACACAATTTAATCCTGACAGTGTACTGGCCTTGAAAAATGATACCCCATCTCTTAAGGATTGAAAGGTGGCAGAAATAGCAGCAATTCTCTGCTTTGGACTAAAGCAATTATGAGCTCTTCACAAACTCAGAGACCAAAATTGATTTTCTTTTCTAGATTATCAAGATGTGGGAGTGGGGAGGTCAAGAAACCTGACCCCGTCTTGACCCAGCAGATTGGATTGTTCTCAAACTTATTCAATATTGAAAGGAACTGTTTAGCGGAGGAAAGTCTCCTCATTCATTCTTTGGTTCTTGAAATCTTCAAGGTATTATGTTCTTCTCCGCCACATAATGGTTCTTCATTTCCGATGATACTGACAGATGCTTCATGAAGCTTCTTTTCAAAGGAAGACAAAATGCCATGGTGGGTTTCACTCAAATAGAGGTGTGGAGTTTAGCAGCGGAATATCAACTCTAATGGCACTTTGCATGATCCACAGGCACCATTACTGCCCAGTGTTCATTCATTTCAATGGAACTTGCTGTGCAAATTCATTTAAAATGAACAAAAGCTAGACAAATGGCAGTTTGTATTGGCTTCTGCCTAGGACCCGTTTTTTCAGATATCGCCAGTTGAGATATCACCATCAGTGGCGTAGCGTGGGTTGTCAGCACCCGGGGCAAGGCAAGTAATTTGCGCCCCCTAACCCTGAGTGAGCCAGGTAGGGGCAGAGAGCTGCGAGTGCGAGCACGCCCCCCCCCAGATGTTGCACCCGGTGCGGCCGGCCCCCCCTGCACCCCCACGCTACGCCACTGATCCCCATAACAGTTAATGCGTAACTGATCTATGCTATTAAAGTATATGCTATTAAACAGTTACTGCGTAACTGATCTATGCTATTAAAACTGATCTATGCACTGTAATATTTATATGCAACTTTCTCTAGAGATACCCAAAAACAACACACATCGAATTTCATGGGAACCAGATCTTAAAGAAGCATAACCAAAACCCTTCTTATAGAGTTTAAATGTTACTATATGGAATCAAAGTTTTCCTGGGGACAATGTATTTTATCCCAAAAATCTTTTTAATGCCTTATACAAACTTAACCTGTTTTGCCACATAATCACCAGCTTAGCAGAGCAGCAAGTACTTTAAATCTTGCAGAATATAGCCTTTGTCTTAACAGGGTTTAGTGTAGAATGAACAGCATTGGAGATGGGGACTATTACTATTATTATCTGCAGTGATATTATTTTCTGAATACCATTTGGAGTGTTTGCATCCTAGGGGCCGATTCCAGAGAATCTTGCTCCATTTTTATTTATTTTCAGAGAGAAAGGATGCAGAAAAAAATGGATAAACAAACATCAAAATGTTAGCCTGATGCATACAGTAATTTTCTCTGTCATCTTCAGAATAGCCACCACATGACACCTACTTGTAAGTCTTTCAATTTGAGATCCTTTGTTCCCATTGTCTAGTAATTGCTGCATTTGGTTGCAATCCTGACCCTGGCTGCTGCCTGGTGGCGGTTAATGCAGTTGTGGGCCACTGTAGCATCTATAGCAGGGGTCAGCAACCTCAGACCATGTGGTGGGCTGGACTATATATTTTTTTGGAGGGGGGCATGAATGAATTCCTATGCCCCACAAATAACCCAGAGATACATTTTAAATAAAAGGACACATTCTTTGTTGTTTAGTCGTTTAGTCGTGTCCGACTCTTCGTGACCCCATGGACCAGAGCACGCCAGGCACTTCTGTCCTCCACTGCCTCCCGCAGTTTGATCAAACTCATGCTGGTAGCTTCAAGAACACCATCCAACCATCTCATTCTCTGTCGTCCCCTTCTCCTTGTGTACTCCATCTTTCCCAACATCAGGGTCTTTTCCAGGGAGTCTTCTCTTCTCATGAGGTGGCCAAAGTATTGTAGCCTCAGCTTCACGATCTGTCCTTCCAGTGAGCACTCAGGGCTGATTTCCTTCAGAATGGATATGTTTGATCTTCTTGCAGTCCATGGGACTCTCAAGAGTCTCCTCCAGCACCATAATTCAAAAGCATCAATTCTTCGGCGATCAGCCTTCTTTATGGTCCAGCTCTCACTTCCATACATCACTACTGGGAAAACCATGGCTTTAACTATACGGACCTTTGTTGGCAAGGTGATGTCTCTGCTTTTTAAGATGTTGTCTAGGTTTGCCATTGCCTTTCTCCCAAGGAGCAGGCATCTTTTAATTTTACACATTCTACTCATGTAAAAACACGCTGATTCCTGGACCATCCGCGGGCTGGATTTAGAAGGCGATTAGGCCATATTTGGCCCTCAGGTCTTAGGTTGCCTACCCATGATCTATATCCCTGCAATGCAAGCCAGCCAGCAGGGAAGGTGGGGAGCAGGAAAAGCACTGCACCAGGCAATTGGACCCATCCTGATGCCATCCTGGCAAGTGAGGCTGGATCAGGGTCCTGGCCTGGCTCAGCCACTCCCTAGCCACAGTGTGATCCATTTTGGGGCTTGCTACCAGTTGCACGGAATGTGGGTGGCGCTGTGGGTTAAACCACAGAGCCTAGGACTTGCCGATCAGAAGGTTAGCGGTTCGAATCCCCACGACGGGGTGAGCTCCCATTGCTCAGTCTCAGCTCCTGCCAACCTAGCAGTTCGAAAGCATGTTAAAGTGCAAGTAGATAAATAGGTACCACTCCGGCGTGAAGGTAAACGGCGTTTCCATGCGCCGCTCTGGTTCGCCAGAAGTGGCTTAGTCATGCTGGCCACATGACCCAGAAG